TGGGAAGAAAACAGGTCAAGTGCTTTCAAAATTAAGTTACCAATCTTCCCTTCTTTCTTCTGATAAGCAATAAATCTACACAACTACATGCCCTTTCTGATATGAAGCAGTTGTCATTTTGTCAGTTGCCGATGCATTTCTCTTATCGGTATATCCGATCCACCCATATTTCCCTGAGTGATAAGCAATATGCGACTACAGATCACTCAACAAATTAGATGTTTGACATCCATTCTTTTGGACAACGATTTTATTACCTCAAGTCAAATGAAGATCAGATGATTATCTTTTTAACTACTACTTCGTTCTCTACCAAGCATTTTGTTATTTGCCTATGTTTCATTGGTCTTTTGTATCTCAATACCTGGAGTTAGAGTCTGTGAGAATGATTGTTGTGTTAGTCATGTACAGTTGGCCAGCTACTGCTTGTACAATGTCAATCACAAACGTCTTGATTTCACACCAAGCGTAACTGACAAGAGTGAATTGATCACCTGAAGCACAAATGTGCTTCAAAACACATTTATAAAATTCACATACCGTAGATGGTGTGTATAGAATTTCAGTTTGTTGAATCCAGATCACAAACGCTTTATGCTGATACAATTTGAAGTAAAGCCAAAATAATATTTTCAAATATGACAAGGAGACAGTATAGAGAAGCACAGGTTCATGGTAGGCGAAATGCAATTTCAGAAGGGATAGCAACAACCAAAATTTATACTTCTATAGTGACTTCTTTCCCGCTTCCTGAGGTTCGAGGGAGCCAAAGATTGGGGGGAAGATATTTTAAGTACTGTATAGTCAAAAGAGATAGATATTCAGGCAGGATTTGAAAACTGAAAGGGAAGTGGCATTGCAGAGAAATTCTTGGAGAGAGTGCCAGAGGGAGGGGGCAAGGTGGCTAAAGGCTTATCTGGCAATGGTAGGATAAAAGAGGTAAGGGGAATGAAGCTGGTTACAGTTGGTAGAACAGAGAGAGTAGCTGGAAGAATAGGGTCACAAGAGACCGCAAGGGTGGGTGGAGGGGGATAATGAGGGGAGCGGAAAGGTGTCCAAAAGCCCAGTCAAAGAACCAAGTGAAGTAGTGTTATGCGCAATTGGCTGCCGTGTTTCACCCACGAATATATACAGTCAATTCACTTTACATTCACTATTCTATGAAGAGCTTTGAGACATCTAGAAGGCGTGAGACGCGCTATATCAAATGCAAGGATTATCATTATTATTATTATAGTGGCAGAACCATGTAATATTGCAGAAATGAGGGAAAGCAGAGCTAGTGAAAGCATCAAAAAAAATCACTGGAGCTTGTAAGATTTAAACTAAATATCCTCCACTTTGTATCCTTCCAAACTGCTGATCTGAAGGAATGGCAGTGTGCCCTGGCTGTCCTCCTTTCTGAGACAGCAGTGTGCTAAAATAGGCCCAAAGTACTTTTTTGTAAAACTTCCCTTTCCTCTGTTTCATTGTGTGGAGTCCTGTAGCTTAGTGGTTAGAGCACTCACCTCGCAAGCGAAAGACTTGGGTTCTATTCCCAGCAGGGCGAAATGTTGGGCAAGTTTCCTTACGCCACACACCTCTGTTTACCTAGCAGTATGTAGGAACCCGATTGTTAGTCGATCGGCGGATCACTTTTCCGGAGATAATGACCCCTGAAAAAAAAATACAAATTTGGTTACTCAATCCACAACTGTTTGTGGGACACTGCTGTGCGCATTTGGCTGCCGCATTTTGCCCACAAATATACTATAGTCAATTCACTTTATAGTATATTCTGTGAAGCGCTTTGAGACGTCTAGAAGATGTGAAAAGCACAATATCAAATGCAAGGATTATTATTATTGTCTCTACTCAGTGCTGCAATGAATTTCTTTACCGAGTTCGGCAAGCCACACCTGGGGAAAACAGAAACTAATTGTCATATAAAGCTGGGATTCAAACCAAGGATTCTCAGTTTGTGGCACAGCATTAGTAATGCTTTACCTTTTCGGCCACCTGCTTTCACTACAAATTTAATAAAATATGTATATATAATCTACAATTTACAATTCTAAAACATACTTTATGCACCTTTCTATAAAATATTTTGATTAAAATATATTAATAAGTGACACAAACAAATAACTTATAATACATTAAAAACATTAAAAAAAGGTCTCTTGTTTATTAGTTCACATGTTAATTATAATTAGAGCCATTTGTGTATTTCATTGGTGAGGTAATTACAATTTAATATATGAATTAATTAAAAACTACTTAACTGTGAAAAGATCTGCACCACTGCTCTTCCAAACCAATTGCTTATTTTTAGCACTACATCAATGACAGCAAAAATAGTTACATATTTTTGGAAGCTACATTTTGTATTTGAAAGCTTGAAAAAGTAAATGAGACTTGGTGCAGCATTTTTGTATTATTGCCATGAACTTGGTTTTAAGCACTCTGGAATGCTGTCCTGCATGAGGGGCACTATATAAATAAATGCAAGTTGTTGTTGTTGAATCTCACCTTTGTGTAAATATCAAAATTTAAGACATCAAAACAGCCATTACAGCTTGTGAAATTTAAATTAAATTTCCCCCACTTGGTAGCTTGTTCCGGAGTGCTGCTGATCTGATCTGAGGCTGTGGCTGAAAGCCTGTGGCAGACAATAGCTGTCCTCATTTCTAAGATGGTACATAAGCTGAAATAAGGCCCCAAAAAACTCCTTTTTTATATAATATATATATTATAATAACTTCACTCTTGTATAGTATGGGCCTTATTAAACATTAGAAAGGCCTCTTGTTGATTTGTTCATGTTAATTAGAGATGCAGCAATTTGTGTATTTCAATGGTGAGGTAATTACTAATGGTAAGAATCCCGTCCCCCAGCGACTTGTTGACTTTCATTGATGATACAAGCAGGCTGGTCACTCAGCAACAGTGCCCTGACCGAGTACTGCAGACCTGCTGGATAATGTATATTCCATCATCAGGTCCACCAGAGAATGACTCAGCTTTATTCTCCCAGAGGGGAGTAACAAGTTGATAATGAGATAGTGAACCAATTTGGGTTTGAGCTCTGGCAATATATATTTCCAGTACTGTAATACTATAGTTTAAATCACATTCTATCAGCTGGTCAAAATAAGCCTACAAATAATATTGTGATAAAATATCATCAAAATATGTAGTGGTATATAATAGGTTGCTTCCAGTTCAATTAGATCCTGTCTAACTACATTACTATTTTCATATTTGTACAGTATTTCTAGTTGTACTATATGTTGTTATTTGTTCTCCTTGAGAGTGTTGTGTTCTAAAGATGGTTATAGCCACATATTTCTGTACAACTGTCATTGATTTAGCAGTAGTTAGGGGATGTTGGTTTCTGTTTATTCTTTCTTTACTTGAGGTGGTACTCCTAGGCTTTATGAAGGGTTTTATCTAAATGCTCACAAAATATAACCAGTTGAGGCATAGTGAATCAGGTATGCACTGCGGTCCTGAACATATGAGTCAACATATTCTATCAGTTACTGTCATTCAGTGAGAACATTTATTGGGGAAGAACATTTCCTTGAATAATGAGCAGTCTTTGCTATAAAGCACACTGAAACACAATGAGACTTTTGTTAAGATGGCATGACAGATTTTATCAATGTGCTATGCCAAACATTGATAGAGCATAAAACCATGGTTACAATTTACCACCTCATTTGAAAATATGGGCTGAATTTTTAGGTGGAGGTGCGAAGTAGAATCGGGGCATCCACTTATTGGCACAGAATGAAATTAAATGACCTCCAGCAATTCTGGCATAGCCCCTAGAAATTTATAACACAGAAAAAGATTATTTGCCCACTGTGTCTTGTGTATAGCTCCTAACAGTGAATAATGCAATATCAAAAGCTGGAATTGGAAATAAAAACTGGAACTTGATTGCAGTTTGAAAAATTCTCTCAAAGAGAAAGATTCATTAGAATGCAGTTACATAGGTAAGAGTTTTCCAGACAACTGACTGAGCTGAGATGAGGTGGGGGGAAGAAACACCAGGCCAGTCCAAGTTTGTATTCCTCAATGAAATGATCATTAAGCAGGAAAGCTGCATGTGCAGTGTCAGTTCAGTGGTAAAAAAAAATCCAATTTATTATTTATTCAGTATCTGTTTATGCTGACCTGCAGCAGGAAAATTAGCAAAGAATAATAAATTAGATAACAATGGATACTTGGATATTGGTATAAACCAGTGCTGTAATCTAATTGATTACACAATTTCTCACTTCACTGTGCCCAAATGGATGTTATGCTTGCATACAAAAATATTCACTACACTTGCCCATGAAGTACTTTGAGATTTTTTGACATGATTAGGTACTTTAAATATTTCTTTTTTGTATTTGGTCTTTTTTGATGTCTGTGTGTCGCTTATTGCTGAGAACCTGTGTGCTCTGTTGTGTCGGTGATGCCCATATGGAAGGATTAATGGTTCACCTCTGGGACCTGGATGTAAATCTAGCCCAGATGATGGTGTGAAATCCTCTTCTCTCTGTTCCCTTTGATAGCTGCAATCGAACTTAAAGTGCAAGTGGGTGCATGGTCACAGTAAAATGTGACAATAATTTGGCACAAAAATTGGCAATGTCAGCCATATAACTTGGATTAATTGTCTGTGAAAACAGTTCCTCATCTGAGACTGGGAGCTTTGCATAGCACTTCACCTGTGTTATATCTGATGCAGAAGTGTCTTGACACTGACACTTGGCGACCAAAGTGATTAAGTGCTCTGTTCCCAGTATTAACATGCTTTCATCCAAAAGTATAAACAATAAAACAGGTGTGCATGTTTGTTCTATGAAATTCCCAGAAGATATTGCAGTTAACTTAATGAAAATTGATCTAATAGTGCAACTGTCTGTAACCAGTTATTAAAATAATAAGTTATTTTGCTTAAGTTTAACTGAAAGAACTACTATTAAATGTGGTGTGAACATTTGCTTGGTTATATCTTGCAGATGGGAAATGAAAGCTGACACTCCTCTTGAAGAAAAAGAAAAACATATGATTGAGCACCTACAAACACTATATTTGAACAGCAACAAAGGACAGTGAAAACCCTACCACCATGTTACATGGAAATATTTCAACAGTTTTAGAGACCACTCCATTTATTGTTTTTTAGTTAAAATTCAAAAGTTATATAAAATATCTGAAGCAATAGATGAATGTGAATAGGTAAATATTCATAAATAGATCTCATGTTTCTTCTATTCTTACCCTGTGTAAGCCACAGTCTAACACTTCAGTGAAAATTTTAATATCTTGTAAGTAGTCTGATTTATGAAACTGTATTTACATGACATTTTTAAAGGAGTCATGGATGACTTATTAAATATTAAAGACTCAATACTATGCTGTGGTGTGATATTGTTTTCAATGACACATGCTCATTATAGTATCAACATTGTGCCACACTTATTTTAAAATGTGTATAAATAATTAATTGTTTTATGTATTAAATTTATTTGACTGTACAGGCATGCATTTAAACAAATTGCATGCTTTTTTTAAAAAAAATGAGGATCTGTTATATCCTATCTTTACAGAGAGTGTTTGAAGAATTACTTTATTTTTCTCAGTTTTAATAAAGTTCCTCCTGAGAACTTCTAACCCAACCGATCCTGGCTTCATCTTGATCAGCCGCAGAACGAGAAATTGTACAGAGCGTCTCACATTTACCCAACAGACTGTGAAATGCAATCAGACTGCAGATGGGCAAGAATACTCTTTTGATCTCATTCTTTCAGAATACCAACTGTACTGTTGGTATCCCCATTACAGTATCAAGCTTTTTCTTACAATATTACAATGTCCTGGTCCCAACCATTCTTCCTGGTAGCCTGTTTTAGCTGTTGATTACCTTCTATATAAAGATAACCTTCCTGAAGTCTTTCCTAAAATTTCCCAAGACAACCTTGAATTTGCTCTCATTTCCTGATGTCTGTCCTGTAATATCTGACAGTATTTTTCTAGCTTTCTCTTGTTGCTTTGTTTATCTAGTTGTTCCTCATTGCTCATCTTAACAAGATTGGATCTCAGCCTTGTTGCTGTCCTCTGCACTACCTCAAGTGGCCTGGGCAGCCCTCAATGACCAGAATACTTTGGAGTGCTCCAAATGAAACCTGACCAGGATACTATCCGTAAGAAGTGAAACTGAGAACTACCAATGAATCTCACTGTCTTAAGATGAAACTTTGGATGCAATCCCCCCTACCTCATGTGCCGCGCAAATTTTCAGTCAATGGTATTTTGAGACTTTCCCAGAGTGAAAGGTGCTATATAAATGTCAATTGTTTAATTGAAGGCCTACCATTTGTTCAGGAAGGGCAGCCTACACTAATTTCTTGTATGGAGCAGCTATGACTGTACACCTGTCTTAAAACCTTTTTGATTGCTTCCATAATGGATTTTTATATTTCAGAATATAAGTTTCTCGCATTATTTTCATGTTACTTAATTACACATACAGCAGTACAGCTATGCCATAAAATTAACTGGTGAGGACAGAAGTTCCCAGTTTCCAACAGATATTTCCAAAATTAATTGGCAGGTGGATCCAATTCAAGAATCCACGTTCCATTTCTCAAATACTTATGTGACCTGCACGGGATGACTATAAATGAAACTGTTGCTAATAGGGCAATTAATACAACAATTTGCATTTATATGGCGCCCTTCACGCTGGGTAGAGTCCCAGAGCGATTAACAGTGACGGAGTCTGACTCCAAGCCGGGGGAGAGGGAGGGAGGAGGTGACCGTAAGTACGATCAAAAAGAAGGGCTTTAGGGCGGGATTTGAAAGTGGGGAGGGAAGGAACAAAGCGGAGGGATTGGGGGAAACAGTTCCATAGCTACGGGGTGTAGTGACTGAAAGTAAGGGCTCCTATGGTAGAGCGGAGGGGTCGAGGGATGAACAAGAGGCCAGAGCCGGCCGAGCAGAGGCAGCAGGTGGTGGAGTGGGGGCTGAGCAAGTCGGAAAGGTAGGGAAGTGCGAGGACATGAAGGGATTTGAAAACGAGAGAGAGCATCTTGAAGTCGATCTGTTTGAAAATTGTGAGCCAGTGCAGCTTGGCAAGGACTGGTGAGATGGGGGTCCGGAGTTTTGTGTGGGGTAGTATCCTAACATTTGAAAAGTCAAGTTGGGAAGCGAGAAAGGTGTGAAAGGGTTTCAGCTGCTGTGGTTGTGATGAACAGATGGAGGCGGGCAATGTGGCGGAAGTTGAAAAAAGGGTCCTGGCCCGGGAACACATGTGGGGGAGAAAGGAAAGCTGTGGATCAAACCTGACGCCTAAATGCACAAGGGTTTGGTAAGTCTGAGGGAGATCCCGGGGAGGTTGAGGAGTTCGGACCCGCAGGAAAGAAGACGTTGACGGGAGCCAAAGAGTATGACAACAACAACAAGAAAATTACATTTGTACAGCGCCAACATTCAGCTGCAGGAAAATAGCACTAATCCAGGCCTTGATGTCCCTAATCTGACCAAGCAACAAAATACTGTACTGTATTTCCTACCACTGAGGCTCTTTCACCATGAATGCTGAAGAGAAATGGGATGGGTAGCAACTTTCAGTAGGCAAACAGGGAAGCAATTGCTCAAGTTTGCCAAATAAGCAAAATACATGAGCATCAGAATTCTGGATAGCCACACAAAGTAGATTATATTATTATTATTATCATTATTATTATTATTATTATCAGTGTTGTGAACCTCTTAACCTTGCTGGATGACTTAAGCCTCTTTAGTCTTTAATTCCCAAAGGACCCTACACTATTTAAATAACATTATTCAGTGTTTTATACGGATGGGAAAGAGGCGTCACACGCCATTGTGTGAAGAGTTGACTTCAATAGCATACAACAAATAAATAATAATCCTTGCACTTGATATATCGCCTTATCACTTAATTGAGACATCTCAAAACACTGGACAGTCAGGGATTTGGACCCGATCAGGTGGGGTGGAGGGCAGGGAGGGTAGGGGCAGGAGGATGGCTGAATGCACTGTAGAAGAAGAGGGTCGTGAGACGTGCTTTGAAGGAGGTAAGGGAGGGAGCAAGGCAAAGGGACTGTGGGATGGAGTTCCAAAGGGTGGGGGGGGGCAGAGAAGCTGAAGGTCCGACTACCGATGGTGAGTCGGGCCAGGAGGGGGACGTGGAGCAGGCTGGAGGATGCTGAGCGGTGGGAGTGGACAGGTTTATATGGGGTTGTCAGGTCATAGAGGTAGGAGGGGGCAAGGCCATGGAGGGCTTTGATGGTGAAGAAAAGGATTTTGAACTCAATCCTCTGAGGGATAGAGGAGCCTGTGGAGCTGAGCGAGGGTGGGGGTGATAGAGGCACAAGGCCTGGTGCAGGAGAGGGCACAAGCTGCAGAGTTCTCGATGATCTGCAGCTTGTAGAGGGAAGAGTTGGGAAGGCCGACAAGCAGGGAGCTTAGATGTGGATCATGGTTTCAGCGGCCTAAGCGCTGAGGCAGTGGTAGAGCTGGGTGATGTTGCAGAGATGGAGGAAGGCAGAGTGGGTCATGGCATGGATGTGGAGTAGAAAGGACAGTTGAGGGTCAAACAAATTCCCAATGTTCCAGACTGGCTCAGTGAGGTGGAGTGTGCATCCCTGGATGGTGATGCTACCAGTGCCTTAGGTGTGGAGGCGCTGACAGGATCCAATCAGGGCCTTGGTCTTGTTGACATTCAACTGGAGAAAGTTAGCTCTCATCCAGGACTTGATGTCTGACAGACATTGTATCAGGACAGCAATGATACCGGAGTTGAGGGTAGAGATAGAGTTGAGTGTAATACACATACATGTGAAAGTTGACCCCACGTCTGCCAACGATTTCCCCCCAGAGGGAGCATGTAGCTATTGAAGAGGAGGGGACCATGGACAAAGCTCTGAGGAACGCTGCACGAGACAGTGCGGGGGCTGAAGGAGAAGCCGTTTGTGGAGACAAAGTGGAGATAGTGTGAAAGGTAGGATCTGAGCTAGTTAAGAACAAAGCCAAGAAGTTTGAGGTGAGAGAAGAAGCGGTGGAGGCGGATAGAGTGGTCATTGGTATCAAAGGTGGCAGAGAGGTCAAGGAGGACGAGAAGATAGAGGGAACCCTAGTCACAATTTGACAAAATGTCATTTGTCACTTTGACCAAAGCTATTTCTGTGCTGTGGGTGGCACAGAAACCCAAATGGAGGGGTTTGTAGGAGTGGCGGGAGAGGAAGGAGTGAAGCTGGGAAACAATGACTCGTTCCAGGAAAAGCAAAGGGAGGTTGGAGATAGGGCGGTAGTTTGAGAGCAGGGATAAGTCCAGGGAACATTTTTTGAGGATGGCGTAATGACGGCTGGTTTTAAGGGAGTGGGAACGGTGGCAGTGGAAAGGAGGGGTTGATGATGTCAGTGAATAGAGGCAAGGAGGTGGAGCTGGAAGGCAAGGAGGAGGGAAAAAGGTAGTAGGAGAAGGGGTCAAAGGTAGTGGGTTTCATATGGGTTATGATGGTGGTGATAAAGGTGGGGAGACAGGTTCTAAGATGTTGAGAGAGGGATGGGAAGAGGCTGGGGTGTGAGGGGGAGATGGGGAGGGGGTAGCAGTTGGAAGGACAGATCACCTAAATTTTGGTCTCGAGAAAGTCCAGCATCTGCTCGCAGTTGGAGTTGAGGATGGGTGAGGCCTGAGAGGGTGGACAGAGGAATCAGTTGGTGAACCCTCTCCTTTTATATTGTCCTAACCCCTCCGCTTTCCAATGTATTGCATTGCTACTTTTTTCCTCCATTTTCAATCTTCTTCCCTTTCAATGTATCAGTAGGTTGCCCCTCCAGGACCCACATGAACCTTTTCCGCTATTTGGTTTCAGTAGCTCACCCAGGTCACAGACTTTGTTGCCAAGGCTGTCCTTACCGCCCTAAACTATATTTCGGTGCCTAGACCACAAATGCGCTTAAAGCAAAGGCATCTCACATTTCACAAAATGTCAACACATTCTGAATATCTACATTAATAACCCTAATAAAAGAGGTAATGGGTTAATAGAATCATAGAATTATACAGCACAGAAGGAGGCCATTCGTCCCATCGTGTCTGTGCCAGCTCTTTGAAAAGAGCTATCCAAATCAATCCCACTTGTCCTGCAAACTTGTCCTCCCCAAATAATTATCTAAACTATCTAGCGTTAATCTAAACAAGCTGACCGTGACAGATCAAATGGTAGGGTGGGAATTCTGGAAAGAATGAGACAAAATGGGCTAAAAGGGCTTCTTTATCTGAACCAATGTTTGTGATGTGTGTGATATAGTCCATGAAAACGAAAAATAGGCAAATCAAGAACCTTGCTTTAATGTTGAAAGGATGATACGTTGCTGTCCTCACTTGCCAATGAACTGTACCGTCAGCATTAAGTAGAACATTTGGTGTGAGCTCTCATCAGGCAGCTATGTATCAGCAAACTAATCCCTATTGTTTACGTAGATCTGACAGCACATAATTAGTATTCTTTCAAGAGAGAGCTGCTAAAGCACATATGCCAAGTACAAAGTCTGATTCACCATTTGATACTGATACTAAAGTATATGCAAGCAAACATGTGAGCCACAGCACAAAATGTTTATCTTGCAGCAAAAGCAACAACTGGACCAGCTAACTATCTTTACTTTTGAAAAGAGACACGATTATTAATAATATATATCAACGTTTCAGAGGGGACCTCATGGAGGTATTGGAACTGAGATGGTAAAATCACAACAATCCTTTCCAATGCATTTAGGCAGCAGAAGAGGACACAGGTTTAGGGGTGGAAAGGGAAATTTCAGGACAGACAAATTACTTTACAAAGAATAATTAATGACTAAAATGGATAATAATATAAATATTAAGAAATATTAATCATTTCATGTGGTTTAGTGCCTCATTACCTTGGTAGGACCTCTCAAAGTGCTTCACAGGATTTACTGTGAAATGGAGTGACTGTACTGTATATCTGGGAAAACACATCAGCACAACTGGGCACAGCAATGTCCCACAAATAGCCATGAAACGAATGACCAATTTTTATTTGGGAATTGTTAGCCAGGACACTGGGATAAACTCCCTTGTCTTTTCGAATGGTATCATGGGATCTTTAATGTCCTGACGTGAAAGGCGTTATACAAATGTAATTTTGCTGTTGTTGTTGTAAACAAGCAGAAAAGAACTTGGTTTAACTTCTCATCCATCTCAGACCGCACCTCTGACAATGCAGCCCCCCAGCATTGTAGTGGATTGTTATCAGAGACTATGTGAGTTCAAAGCTCAACATGGGACCTGAACTCACAACCTTATGATTCAGAGCCGAGAGTGCTACGACTAAGCGAAGATGACACACAGCTTTCTGAACAGATTACCAGGAAGGGCGATTAAGACCAGGATCCTGGACTTGTTTCAAAAACAGTTTAATGCTGTTATAGGGAGACAGTAAAATGGGTATTGGGGAAGGATGAGATTAAAAGGACCTAGTAATCTTGTGACATATCAAAGGCCTTAATAGAGGACAAAATGAATATGCAGATATATTGACAGTTTATTAGATTCCAGGTCAAATAATAAGTAATTATAATCCTCACATTTGATACAGAAGCTTTATCTTTGAAACATGTCAAAACTTGTTACTGGAAATTGATCTCTTCTGTAGTGACTATTTGTAGGCAAAAGTGACAGCCAATTTACCTTACAAGCAGCTAAACAACATGTCACTTTAAACATGATTACAAAGTGACAGAAATAATCTTAATATTTACTGTCTTTATAATCAAACAATAAGTAATTTTTTTTAATTTAAAAAGGGTTAAGCAATGTTTACTTGGCTCCACGATTTGGGAAATTAAATCATCTCAAGCAGTCATGTCAAAGAAGACAATTCTGCTCTATACCCAAGTCAAATATTCACAATTACCTAATTTATTTTCCCTTGAATTATAGAAATTTAAATCAGCAAAATATGTTGCGCTTTTAAATCATGATTTAAATCTGTTATATTTTTAAACTATTAAAACAGGTAACTTGGACAATCGGTTTTTAAGAGAAGCTTTTCAGACACAAGTGCTGAACTACTAGATTTATGTTGTCTCACTTATATTCTCATTGTGGGTATTGGAGATTGCTTGACATCTGCGAAAACACATTGTTCTATATTCTATACACTGCGATATAAACTGCTCCAGATTGGTTCCTCCATATCATACCCAAACCTCATTAGCTTATTTCATACTGGGACCAATTCTGGACAAAAAACATTGTAAATTGTCAGCGGATTTGTCAGTGAACTAGCAATCTAAGATACTTCTATGTTACATTGATCTTGAAATCAATGTGATTGTGACCTCTAACCTGAAGGTGACATTATAACGCACATGATCAGAGTTATGACACTCAGCAGAAAAAGGAATTTTTCAAAAATTATTTTCTCAATTGAAACACCTACCACACACCAAAGTGGGGAAAGCTACAGTAAAAGCTGTGTTATTTTCCCACATTCCATGCCCACAGCCCAGAAACAGTCAAAGTCACTAATGACGTTCTGAACATCTGTGATCAGGGCTCCCTCTGCCTCCGTGTCCTCCTCGGCCTCTCCGCCGCCTTCGACACTGTCGACCGCTCCATCCTCATACACCGCCTCTCCTCCTTACTCAATCTTCACGGACCTGCCCTTGCCTGGTTCGATTCCTATCTCTCTCACCGTCTCCACTTTATTGCCTCTAACGGTTTCTCCTCCAGCCCCCACACTGTCACGTCCCACAGGGCTCTGTCCTTGGCCCTCTCTCTCCTCTTTAATATCTACATACTCCCCCTCGGTGACATCATCCGCAGACATGGAGTCAACTTCCATATGTATGCGGATGACATCCAACTCTCTTTCTGCCTCCACCCTCACCTCCAGGACCACTGCTGTCCTGACAGACTGCCTGTTGGACATCAAGTCCTGGATGAGGGCAAAGAACAACATCAACAACAACAAGATTTCATTTATAGAGCGCCTTTCACGTCGGGAGGACGTCCCAAGACAGTTGGGTCGGGAAGTTGACCCCAACTTCCTACAGTTGAATGTGAACAAGACTGAGGCCCTCCTGATTGACTCGCGCCAGTGCCTCAGCACCTCAGGCTCTGGCAGCATCAACCTCCATGGTTGCACACTGTAACTCACCGCCAGTCAGGAACCTCGGTGTCTTGTTTGACCCTCAACTGTCTTTTCTTCTCCACATCCAAGCCATGACCCGCTCTGCCTTCCCTCACCTCCATAACATCGCCCGACTCTGCCACTACCTCACCCCTCAGGCCCTGAAACTCGTTCATGGCTTCATCATCTCCAGGCCCGACTGTGCAAACGCTCTGCTTGTCGGCCTTCCCAACTCCTCCCTCCACAGACAGCAGATAATCCAGAACTCTGCAGCCCGTGTCCTCTCCCGCACCAAACCCAACGTTTCGCCTGCCCGGCGTTTGACAAGAGTGCCTTATGATGTCCTTGAGACGTTCTGCTGTCTTGATACATTCTCAATCCCATTTAAAATTGAGTACATCTCTGAGGTGCCCTCTGACTTTTCTTCCCTCTAATCATTGCTCATTCCTCCAATCTAATCGAAACCAAATACACTCATCAGAGCAACACAGCCATGAATCCGACAAACGCTGCCAGCATCAGGAATTAATAATACTTGCATTTGAATTGTGGTGAGTGCATTTTTTAATGTACATTATAACCCTGGATTGGATTTACTGTATAAGGTGTTGTTGTTGTTGTTGTCTCCACCCACATCCCGAGCACGTGTCTTGTTTTCAAACCTGGAGACCGTTGGGCTTCGCGCGCGCCCATTGTTCGCTTCCGACCCGTTGCCACGGAGACGGCTCCACTCACTTCCGGTTCCGCTGTATTGGGGAGGGGGGAGTGGGGGGAGTGTTACTTATTCTCCAGCTGTGTGTGTGGCGGCGGCGGCGCCGTGTGCGCTTCATCTTCATTATATAAAACCTTGTTTTGGTGCCTATCCTTTTTTTAAAAAAAAAGCAGAACGGTTGTTAAAAATATATATCAACAAAAAAAACATCATATATAGATAAAAAAGAGAGGCCGAGGGTTGTGTTGCGTTGGGGCTGTTGGCATGGTATGTGCTTTTCCTTCCAGCGGCTGCCGGTTCTCGTTGTTTGTTGTGTCGCGGCTGTTGGGTCAGACTGACAGGGGGGCGAGGAGCAGACATGGCGACTCGCAGGGAGGAAGAGTTCGAGGCAGAAGGTCTGCCTCCTGTTTTGCTCCGCCGCGTCTGGAGACCGACAGAGAGGCGTGCGTTAAGTTACAGCCAAACAGGGCGATACGAAGGCCCGAGGCCTGAGCCCCTGACACCGAGTGAGATCCTCTACATCCCCCCCCATCACATCCTGCACTCCCACTCTGCCATCCATTATCCCTTCGCCCAATACATATCCCAATTCCGTGGCCACTTCTCTTATTAAAAGGAAAAAGAGTTGCAATGTCTCTGAAGTCTACCTCTCTTCTGTTTCATCTGTTCCCTCCTTCTATTGCTGCCAATTTCCTGTGAAAGGTGCCACACTTTCACTTTAAATTCCCTCCTCAGTCGTGCAGTGATCACCCTTGGGTGTCGAGATCATTTATTTTTGCGATTTTTTTTTAACAAAAAACCGCTTAGTTCCCCCACTTTTGTTCTTTCCACCTTGATTTGAGGATTGTGGATTTCGCCAGGGGAGCCTCATGTGAAGAGAATGGAAACTTACACCCGAAGGAAATCAGTTTATAGTCTGCTTCTCGTGTTTAACAGTAGTAGTTACATTTGGGGGGAAGGAAAAAAAATCTCTTCCAGTTGTAATTTGAATAATTAAAAGTTAATGCTGTGGAGGTTTTCTGTGGAAACCTTGGGTCAAAACTTTAGTCATGTGATCCATTATACAAGTTTTAATTGCGTGAATTGTGCCTAGTTTGTGATTTCACAGTTATTCAGAGTTACTGTAACAGTATTACAGGCAATGCGTTTGGAGTGAATTCACCTAAAAGTGATATAGTGGTAGCCTCTATTTAGAGGGATGACTGCTAAACTAATTCTAATCTCTGTGACACATTTTTATTGCGATAAATTGATGTGTCTTACCTAAGATGTACGCCTCTCTAGAAGCCTCATTGCTTTAAGAAACAGCTTTTTTTGCAGCCTGCTAACAGTGAAATGTTAAACTAATTACAAAGTGTTCACGAACATATCCCAAGTTTGTGAAATTCCTAGTAATTCCCTTAACTATATCCTCTTAAATGTTTAAAATAAATAATAACAATGCATTTGATATAGAGCTTTAACACGTCTTTGAAAAGACTCAATGCGCTTCACAGAATATACTGTAAAGTGAATTGACTGTACATTTGTGGGCGAAAGAAGAACATTACGATTCAATATATATGGTACTGTTTCCCAGAGCGACTTCACCTCGTCCTGTCGCTAACCTCTTTCAATACCTTTGACTGTGCATTCGGTCCTATTCCCACCCCCACCCCAATTGCCCTTTACCTCTCTTGATTACAGTCCCCAGGGTGCAAACCCTTCACTGTACAGTGCCTTGGATGTCTTCCTGACATGAAATACGCTGGAAAATGCAATTTGTTGTGTTAAAAATCAAGAACGCTGCCATACTTTAAAAATAACTTTTAACTGTTTCAGGAGTGTTTTAAATAATTGTACCAACAGCTAGATTTGCAGTGTGATTGCATTAGGTTGAGAGGTCACCCTTTCGTGTTGGGAGGATGTCGCAAGGCGCTGGACAGTCAGGGATTTGGACCTGAGCTGGTGGGGCTGGGGGTTGGCCGAAGGCATGGTCGCAGAGGAAGGTCTTGAGATGTGTGTTGAAGGAGCCAAGAGAGGGAGTGAGGCGAAGGGAAAGTGGGATAGAGTTCCATAGAGTGGGGACAGAAAGGCTGAAGGCCCAACCGCCGATGGTGGGACGGGCCTGGCCGGTGACATGGAGCAGACCGGAGCCCACTGGAGGAAGTGGACAGGTTGATAAAGGGTTAGCAGGTCACAGAGGTAGGAAAGGGCAAGGCCATGGAGGGCTTTAGAAGGTGAGGATGAGAATACTATATCAGTGCAGGTAGTTGTTGTTTATAAACATTGTATCTTCTAGTTAGCCTAATGTTTCATTATTTTAGAATAATAATAAAGTAGTCCAGGTTATTTATAAAGTTTGCATTAGATCCATAACCAAAACATTATTTTTGTTTCTTTGTGTGCACTATGTAAAAGCATTCTAAATGGTTGTAATGTGTTTTCTGCTGCGTTATGAAACTTTGATGCAATTATTTAACAGCAGAAGTTTTAGTTTGTGGTAATCCATAAACATATGTTTCAGATAATTTCGCAGAGCTTGCTACCTCTTGTATGTTTTATATTCTCATTGTATTTCTTCATTTTCTATTTTCCCTCTTTGAAATTTCCTTTTACTCCCATGTATGAGATGTCTTGAAGATATGATAAAGCTCTATATCAAATGCAAGGATTATTATTGTATACACTTAAGTATCAAACTGGCTGCCAAGTTTGCCCTCATAATATATAGTCACTTTATGGTAAATCTTGTGAAGCTCTTTTTAGATACCTTCCTTCCAAGCATGCACACTCCACTTTACTAAACCAGTCCTGAACCTTGGCATCTTGTTTGACTCAACTATCCTTTCTACCCCACATTCGTGCCATGTCCCACTCTGCCTTCCCCCACCTCCACAAAATCACCCGGCTCTGCCACTGTCTCACACCGTAGGCCGCCGAGACCTCATACAGGCATCATAACATCCAGGCTCCACTATGCAAACTCGTTGCTTGTCAGCCTCCCCAACTCCTCTCTCCATAGGCTCCAGATCATCCAGGCCTCTAGCCCATGCCCTCTCCTACACCAGGAGTTGGGTGAGGATGGGGGTGATGACCACATCCTCACCCTACTCCACTGGCTTCCTATCACACAGTATACAGTTCAAGATCCTGGTCCTCACCTTTGAAACCCGCCATGGCCTTCCTTCCTGCCCCCACCCGCACCTCTGCGACCTCTAAGCCCCTATGAACCTGCCTGCACTCTCTGCTCAGCGGGCTCTGGCCTGCTTCATGTCCCCCGCCTCGCCCACCCCACCATTGGCGGGCCTTCTGCCACCCTACCCCCACCCTCTGGAACTCCATCCCGCAGTCCCTCCACCTCGCCCCCTCCCTTGCCTCCTTCAAGACCGTCTCAAGACCCTCCTCTTCGACCATGCCTTCGGTCACACTCCTCAGCTCTGCCCTGTTCTCCACCCTCCCCGATTCCAATCCCCAGCTCGGGTCTGAAACACTGATTGTCCAGCGCCTTGGGACGTCCTCTCGTGAAAGGCACTATACAAATGTAATTTTGTTGTTGTTCCTAATGTACCAAATGGAAGGTTTATTGTTATGGTTAAATTGTAAATATTCTAGAACTGTTAGTAAACATGCTTACTGTCTTAAAGAAAAACTTTTGTATTTGCTTTCATTGCTCACAGTAATATATTGGCACATATGCCTTCGTGCTATTAATGCTCTTATTTTTTTCTTGTCCACATGAATTTAGTTTCATTTATATTGATCAAAGAGTGAAACTGGATGCTTGTGCAACTGGTGATTTTTGTTTTATCAACCGTGTGGATTACAATGGCACAGAACCAGCCAGGAGGACCCGAAGAAAAGGACAAGACTTCTACTGCATTAAAAGGTAACCAGTAAATGCAGAATTCTGTTTACCAGGAGGACGAATGACATTGTCCGTGTACTTCAATTAGCCATGTAACAGTGTTTGAACTGTCAAAGATCTAAGTTGGAGTGCACAGACTTTACTTAGAGAAGATTTAAACGCCTTCCTCATTAGTCAGCTACTGTTAATCTTTACATGTTAGTCTTATTAGCCTTATTATAAATGTTGAAAAGGTCAAGAACCTGCATGCAATATTCATTTGAGAAAGTTGGTTTCTAATAAGCAGATTTGTGTTTTGTGTATGAAGCAAACGCACTAACATTTCAAAGATAAAAATGAGGTTTATAATGTAGTGAAATAAATTACCATATGTCATACCACTTCCCTCTCAGAGAGACAAGCTTCTAATAACCTTGAAAATAGCTTGTATGTTCTTAATTAGTGAGATCCTCTTAAGCATATCTTTGCTTCATCATACTGCCAAAGAGTCATGAGGATCTGCAGATTTCTCAAACAGCAAGTTCCTGATTTTTACTGTGTTCCAGTAGGTAGTTTGCAAAGATCAACTGCTTCCACATCTGGAGGAAAAATTAGTGGGTATCATTCTTGTGTATTAAATTCAAGCCTTTTCCTATATGCACCATTTATTTAATTCTGAATGGAAAGGAACAGAATCAAGTATTTTTTTTCTTGGATGAATTGGTTAAATGTCTTCCTGGAGTATATCTAAAATTAAGCAAGAAAAAAATGTAATTCATCACTCAATGTTCCAAGTTAATTTAGGAGCAGTTCTCCCTCACAGGTGGAGAAATAACAAAAAGGGAGGGGCCATGTGCATCCTGAAGGAACTTTAAATGAAAGAAAATTTTGGACTTGTCTGTGAGCTTTTCATACATGCTTGGTTGTACGATCTTGTCCCAGCATTGAAATTTTAATTCCCTTATTTGCTTTAGAATTTTAAAATAATATTGCAACCTTCTGTGATTCAGTTGTATTACTCTTAATTTCTTCAATTAATAAAACTTTTATTTATATGGTTCCAGTCACAAAATTTGAGCTCGAATTTTATTAAATTAGATGTTTGTTACCAATGGTAGCGTGTAAGTATAATGTATATGAACACCTGGTATCTTAGCCAAAAATCTCCCAAATAAAATCGGTTATTCACTCCTTGGCTGCTTGTGGGACATTGCCCTGTGTAACTGGCTACCATGTTTCTAACTACCGGCCCATCTCCAACTTCCCTTTTCTTTCCAAGGTGCTTGAAAGAGTCATTACTTCGCTCCTTCCTCTCCAAGCACTCCCTACACGAGCCCCTCCAGTCGGGTTTCCGTGCTGCTCACAGCATGGAAACTTCTCTGGTCAAGGTCACAAGGACATCCCGTCTATCTGTGACCAAGGCTCTTTCTGCATCCTCTTTGACCTCTCTGCTGCCTTCCATACCATGGACCACTCCATCGTCCTCCATTGCCTCTCCTCTCACCTCAACCTTCAAGGTTCTGTCCTTGAATGGTTCAGGTCTTATCTCACACTGCTCCAATTTGTCTCCGCCAACAGTTTCTCTTCCAGCCCCCGCACAGTTTTGTGCAGTGTTCCTCGGGGCTCTGTCCTCAGTCCCTTCCTCTTCATTTTCTACATGTTCCTCCTTGGTGACATCATCCGCAGACATGGGGTCAATTCCACATGTACATGGATGAGACCTAACTCTATCCTTGCCTCCACCCTCAATTCCAGGACAACTGACATGCTGACAGACTGTCTGTCAGACATCAAGTCTTGGATGAGGCCAACTTTCTACAGGTGAATGTCAGCAAGACTGAGGCCCTTCTGAATGCCTCACGCCACCACCTCTGCACCTCAGGCACTGGCAGCATCAGCATCCACCGATGCACACTCAACTTCACCAAGCCAGTCAGGAACCTGGGTGACTTGTTCGATCCTCAAATGTCCTTTCTCCCCCATATCCGTGCTATGACCCACTCTGCCTTCCCCACCTCCACAAAATTGCCCGATTCCGCCACTGCCTCACCCCTCAGGCTGCCGAAACCCTACACATTCGTCACTCAAGGTTCGACAACGGAAACCCTCGCCTTGTTGGCCTCCCCAACCCCCCCCCAAAGCTCCAGATCATCCAGAACTCTGCCGCTCATGTCCTCTCCCGCGCCATGCTCCGTGACCCCATCACCCCCACCCTCGCCAGGCTCCACTGGCTCCCCATTCCTCAGAGAATAGAATTCAAAATCCTTGTCCTCACTTTCAAGGCCCTACACGTCCTTGACCCTGCTCTGACCTGCTGACCCCCTATCAGCCTGTCCTCTCACTCCATTCAGCAGGCTCTGGCCTGCTCCATGTCTCCCACCCAACTTGCCCTACCATGGAAAAGGCACTAATTTTGTTGTTGTGTTTTGCCCATAAAATTCAGTCAATCCACAGTCTATCCTGTGACGTGCTTTGAGATGTTGCAACACCGTGCTAAGGCACTATATGAAATGCAAGGATTTATTTTAAATCAAATTGATCATTCACTTCATGGCTATTTCTGTGGGACATGGCTGTATGCAAATTGGCTGCTGTGTTTGTCTACAAAACTCACACTTGTTACACTTTACAATGTATCCCGTGAACAACAACAACAAGATTCCATTTATTGAGCGCCTTTCACGTCGGGAGGACGTCCCAAGGCGCTGTACAGTTGGGTCACGACCCGAGCAGGGGGGAAATGGTCAGGGTGAGGGGAGGGAAGGGAGGGAGCGAGGAGGGGGTAGAGAGTCGAGAGGGGAGCTGAAGGCTCGGTCAAAGAGAAAGGTCTTGAGACCGGCCTTGAAGGAGGAAAGGGAGGAGGCGGCGAAGGCACTGGGGATAGAGTTCCAGAGCCTAGGGGCTGAGAGGCTGAAGTCCCGGCCACCGATGGTAGGGCGGTTGGGGCGGGGGATGTGGAGCAGACCGGAGCCAGAGGAACGGAGGGTACGGGCAGGTAGGTAGGGGATCCTCTTATCAGATGTAAGGATTATTATATAAAGGACTTTGAGATTTTCTGGTGTTATACATGCTATATGAAATTAATAGATTGCTGTATTTGTGATTTACTATGCTTTTTCCATTCCTATGGAAGCAGTAATTGTACTAAAATGAATAATTGGTTTTAATTGTTCTAAAACCTGTGACAAATCAATTTTCTCCCAGATTTACTGTCCAGAATAGACTTGGAAGAGCTTATGAAGAAAGATGAACCACCTCTCAAATTTCCTCAAACTCTTGAAGATTTTGAATATTCATTTAATGAAAGTAAGTGTGATGCAATTTCTAGATGTTTAAAAGTAATTATTTTCCATTTTAAGAGCCATTTTTGTCTCTTCCACACTTCTCAATTGAGAGGTGCAAGCAGGTACTTCATTACCAGTTTTCCATAAACTACACAAATTGACTTGTGTTGCGACTGGAAGCAGGAGGGAATTGAAGTGCAAGTTGGGCTGTGGTCCCAATCCTTATATGATTATATTATATTTCATGATAAGGCACTATATCGAATAGTGGCTTATTACGTCATTAAGATGTCTGAAAGCACTTCATAAATTTTTAATGTGAACTGTAGTGACTATTTGTTGGTGAACCTGGCTGTTTGTGGGACATTGCTGTGTGAAAATTGGCTGCCGTGTTCACCTACAATTACAGAGTCATTAAACTACAAATCCTGTTCACATGTCCTCCCAACGTGAAAGATGTATTAAATACAAGGAATATTTTCATTATAAGTAGAAACGTTTGCTTTAACATAAATTGGACTGGACATGATTACGACATTGTAATTCCAATTGCAGTGAAATAGTCAACATTTATTCTCCCTGTGCTGCTGGAAGAAATGACTCAATCTGTGAACAGCAACACTTCATCTCTTAGATGCTCTCCCCAAATCGCTCTGCCTCAACCTATCCTGCTTTTAAAAATCCTTCTTTGAACCTACTTTTTTGATTATGTCTTTGGTTGCCAAGCTCCTAACCCTCCCATTCCCCACCCTGCTCAGATTTTCACTCCATCTGTGTTAAGCATCTGTTTCATCCGTTTCGCCCACAAATATACAGTCAATTCACTTTACAGTATATTCTGTGAAGCTCCTTGAGACGTCTAGAAGATGTGAAAAGCGCTATATCAAATGCAAGGATTATTATTATACAAGAGTTTTGAGATGCTATTTCCCACAGTCTCCACTAACGGCTTCTCCTCAAGTCCCTGCACCATCATGTGTGGCGTTCTTCAGGGCTCTGTCCTTGGTCCCTTCCTTTTCAACATTTACATGTTCCATCTTCTTGACATCATCCGTAGACATGGGGTTAACTTCCACATGTATGCGGATAACACCCAACTCTACCTCTCCGCCTCCACCATCGACTCCAGGACCACTGCTGTCCTCATAGACTGCCTGGTCGGACATCAAGTCCTGGATGAGTGCTAACTCCAGTTGAATGTCAACAAGACTGAGGCCTTCCTGCTTGGCTCCCGTCAGTGTCTCCATACCTTGGGTCAAGCAGGATGCAGCATCTTGCGTCCTATTCAACCCTCAACTGTCCTTCATCCCCCACATCCTTGCTATGACCTGCTCCGCCTTTCCCCACCGTCTTGACCACCCCACCATTGACGGGTGCGCCTTCAGCCTCTCTACCCCACCCTCTGGAGCTCCATCCCACAATCCCTCGTCGCCTCCTTCGACCATGCCTTTGGTCACTCTCCTATCCTACCTCCACTCCTGCTGATGCCAAGCACCAGCTCGGGTGTTGATCCCTGACTGCCCTGCGCTTTGGGACGTCCTCCTTGTGTGAAAGGCGCTATACAAATGTGATTTGTTATAGAGATGTTATTCTACATTAAAGTTGCTGTAAAAATACAATCTGTTTTGATGTTCTAAATGAGTTCAATATAATTCCAACAAAGATTGTTTGGTGCTTTAAGGGTTATTCCCTTCCTTTCTGTGTCATACTAGGCTGTGTACCTTGGGAGTATAGACATCGTTATGGTTACTATTCATGTTTCCACGCATTTATTATATCTAGGCTCGACGATGTGAACTCACTGCTTGTTGGTCTTCACTCCACAAGCTGCAGATCATCCAGAACTCTGCAGCTCGTGTCTCCTCCCGCACCAGACTCTGTGATCCCATCAGCCCCACTTTCGCCTGACTCCTCTGGCTCCCCATTCCTCAGAGGATAGAGGTCAAAATCCTTGTTCTCACCTTCAAAGACTTTCACGGCCTTGCTCCTTCCTATCTTTGTGATATGCTCACACCATATCAACCTGTCTGCTACCTCCCCTCAGCAGGCTCTGGCCTAGTCCACGTCCCCTGCCTGGCCCGCCCCACCATAGGCAGTCAGGCCTTCAGCATCTCTGCCCCCACCCTTTGAAACTCCATCTCACAGTCCCTTCGGCTCGCTCACTCCCTTTCCTCCTTCAAGACACGTCTCAAGACCCTCCTCTTTGACTGCTCCTTCGGCCACCCTCCTATCCTTACCCTCCCTGCCTCCACTCCTCCTGATCCCAACCCCAGCTTGGGTCCAAATCTCTGACTGTCCAGTGCCTTGGGACCTCCTCCTGATGCGAAAGGTGCTATATAAATGTAATTTGTTGTTGTTTCTTTGTGCATGATGATGAAGTGTGATGAGGTGGAACTTAATGAGGTTTCTCTTGGCCATTCATTTTCTCCTGAAATCAGATTGGCAGTACCTTGGGTTGAAGCTGCAGCCGATGACCGTACAATGATTGGCACTTCACTGCCTTGAGATGTGCTTTTTGTAAATGTTATCTAAGGCATGGATTTGAAACCAAGTTTCCCTTTTGTTACTGTACTACTTTTTATTTAACAATCTTAGCAAACCATTGGAAGGTTCTGTTCAAAATGTGAAGGAATTTATTTTCCATTTTTGAAAGTAGCAAATTGTTCAGATTAAAAAAAAATGACTGCAATATTATTTTGCAGTGTGAATCAATGCAAAAACTGGATACTTTTGTGTATTTGTCTTTTAGAAGGCCAGCTAAGACATGTAAAAACTGGAGAACCTTATGCATTCAATTACCATGAAGATTTACACAGATGGAACCAGAAACGCTATGAAGCTCTTGGTGAAGTGAGTTATTTTCATATAACCTTGATCAGACTGTTATAATTTTATGTGTGATTAGCCCTGAATTCCTTGACAAATTTGAAAATATATTGATAATTCTGTATGCGATCTGAAGAGTATAGCTTCATTGCTATATCCATTTCTGTTTCACTCTATTTGTAAGTATGTGTTTAAAAATCTTTTCCACTTTGGTTTACTGGTGGCAATATTTTATTTATTTTATTGCAAAAGGTTAAAATGTTGCACCACATTAGCAAATTGATCAGATTTTTAAAAATTGACTAATATTATTTTGCAGTATGAATCAATGTAAAAACTGGATACTTTTGTGTATCAAATTTTAGATTGTTTGAAACAAATGTTGGCTTTCAGTGTTGGCCATTGCAATAACTTTAAATTTCCCTTTACTCTGCTGAAACTGAATTTTACACTTCACACATCAATAAACCTTGTGAGGTGGCTTATTTGATACTGAGTTATGACCTTTTTTTCTGTCAACTTTGAGAAATCATACTCAATGGAAACTGGGTCGAGACTTCCATAGATTATTTCAAGTAAGACACTCTGACTAACAGAAATTTCCATCCCATCATTCTGGGTGGATTGAAGCTTACATCCCTGAGATGAAAGGAGCATTTACTTAGTATGTTACTTTGTTCCTCATTTTTTATTTATGATTTAAATTTTGTGGTAGAAGAGAACAACATAGGGTTGAATTTCTTTATGTATGAACTATCTAAGCAATGCAAGTATTCGGTTATATTCAGTACCATTTTCTAAAGGTTTACTCAATCGGACATCTAATGAAGAGCTGTTTGATAATTGACCCAATAGAGTTGGAAATCTTTTTTAAAATCTGGTCTGAATCTGCATTTCTTGTAAAAGCAATTTTGCACCAATACAGTTTTTCTTATGTTTTGGTTAATTTCCTTGATGTTTTGGAGCCATAGAAATAATTGCAGATTTTGTTCTCATGTTACTCAGGTTACCTTACATAGTTTATTTACTTTATTAAGAGTTATTTAGTGATGCTCTGCACTTATACTAGCATCCAGTACAAAATGCTGAAATTCTCATTCTGACTGGCGCTTACTATTCATAATTTATTGCATTTTCTAATTAAGAAATTTGCTTTTCTTCTAATTATATTTACAGTGGAAGCCACTTAAACTGGATGCATCTGGGCAGGCTGTTTTGTCCGGCTTAAGCGGCTTCCAATGTTAATCAAAGTTCTACCCGCTCAGCAGAGGAGCGGCGACGTGCTTCTTCCCACCCATTGCCATTCCACAGGAAGAGGACCAATTAGCAGCATCTCTGATGTGATTGACAGACTGGAGCTGCTTGTGAATGGATGGGCACACCATCCCATCACAAGCAGCTCCAGGCTTGTCAATCATTCGCAATTTGATTCCTCCCATTGCCTTCCTGTTTCTTACCCATTCCTCGCCCGTCTACTGATTGACAGTCCCGAAGCAACTTGACTCCTACCATCTCCATCCCGGAACCTCTTGTGAGTGAGTAGACTCAGCGGTCCGTATTTTGTCCGTATTAAATATATTTCTGTCCAAATTAATTGGCATATTTAAAACCGGTAAGAATACAAATGAATCGGGGCTGGCATTTTGTACGATTTACCCGTCGTCCTGCTAAAGCGGCTTCCACTGTATTTCTTTTTGGAGCTCAATGTGCCCTGGATGGTACATGTGCGTCTTGATCTCGGAGGCTGTACATATCTAGATAGGAGTACTGCCAAAGATTGAATTAGATTGCAGATTCAGTGTAGGAAACACAAAGAATTGGGGCCTACTCATTAGGGTGTACTTCCATGATCTTGCGTATACTACAATTTTTATATAGTTCTAAAATGAATTCCTTGATATTGCAGAGACTGGAAGGATTTAGTGAGTTAAGAAGGGTGGCCGCCACTTGAAGAGAGTGCCAGAAATTTCCCATTGCATGGGGAATCAAGTACATGGCAATTCCCCATTGCACGACATGAAAAGCATCTGCAAATTTAATTTGGGTACTAAAAGGGTAGATTTTCAAAGTGCTTTGCCTTATGATTCTTCTTAGCTACTTGTTCTCAAAAGAAAACACCAGTTGGAACTATTGTAGTACAATTAGTCTTTGCCAAATGAACTACTGGATATTGTAGAAATGTATAGTTAGCATTACACTCTAAAATAACTATTTAGATAATGAGCAAAACACAACCTTGAAATATCTAGAGCAGTGAGCTGTTATGGAGTGAGGTTTCATCTATGGAACCGTGAAAATTTTACGACATGGTAGAGGCCATTGTATAATAGGTGCAGATTGAATTATTTGTGAAATAGCCTTCTACAGGTGATAGGAGTTTAGTCAAGTCCAATTTGTGCTGGCACAACCCTATTTCTACTGCTCATGTACAATGTAAAATAAATCTCCTTTCTTTAATTCAATTTTTTTTCAGTTTACTTTTTATTATTTTGATTTCATTTACCATGTGTAAGTTATTAGAAGGTTTTAAGATAATACCCAAGGGAAATGTTAGGAGTTATTAGGACATGAAATGCACTAAGACAAACAATGGTTGAAACAGATCTGCTTTCTCTCCACTCCGCTAGCCGCTGGCTCCGCTCGGCTGGCTCTGGCCTCCTGCTTGTCCGTCTACCCCTCCACTATCGATGGTCATGCTTTCAGCCACTATGCCCTGAAACTTTGAAACTCTCTCCCTCTGCCTTGCCCCCTCCTTCCCCTGTTTTAGAACATGACTGAAGACCACCCTTATCGACTGTGCTTACTGTCACCTCCTCCCTCTAGCCTGCTTGGCATCAGGCTCTTTAGCTGTTAATGACTTCAGGGTGCTGCCCCAATTGAAGGGTGTTATATTAAGGCAAATTATTATATTAGATTTTAAGAAGGATTTGGGCAAAAATCTTTCTTAAAATGGAAAAATATGGAGAAAGTATGGAGAAAAGACGGGTAGCTCACAGACATTAAGGGCTGATTGGCCTTCTCCGCTGAAACATTCTATGATTTTATTGAATTGAATCATAATTCCATAATAATTCCGTCATAATTCAATTGCACATCTGATGAAATATATTAGGGTCTTGAACATTTTAATGCTCGTACAACTGGGTGCGATCAGGAGGAGCTGATGGTCTTCTGGATATCTTCTGCCCACTGCTGCTCTTAATTTTATTGTCAGAAAGTTTGTATTTGTTATAGGTTATTGCAATTCATTGACCCTACTACACAAAGTGGATGATATTGGTTTCATTGTAGACGAGATTAATCTGGTTAAGATTTATTTAATAAAAGAAAAACTTCAAGAAAAATTGGGTGCCATGTGATAAACTATAACCCCAATTCAGTTGTGGTTATAGTTTATGGCATAGTACCGAATTTTATAATAATAGTATGAATTCATGCTTGACCAACACTATTAACTTTTTTAAGATTTAACCGACCAAGTAGATAAAAGAAATGTGGTGTATATGGATGTGGAATGGGGTGCGGTGTACATGGATTTCAAGAATGCCTTTGATTTTTATGTCACGCAAGAGGACTCATGGCTAAAATCCAGGCATGTGGAGTCATGAGAGAGGCAGTAGAATTGATTGAAATATAGCTAGGAAACCAAAAGCAAAGAGCACGAGTAAAGGGCAACTTCTTTGACCACCTAGAGGTAAAAAGTGGTGTTCTGCAGGGATGAATAATAGGATTGCTACTGTCCACCATGTGCATAAATGATTTTGATTTGAATATGGAACGTATGGTGTTGAAATTTGCAAACAACAAATTACTGGTAAATAATGAAGCGGATTCCAAAAAGATACAGGAAGACAAAAACTGGCTTGCAGTATGGCTAAACAGCAACAACTTGGATTTATATAGCGCCCACCACGCCGGACGGCATCTCAGAGCGCTCGGTAGCAGATGAAGTTAGGCATATGGATGGCAGAGTTTTGTGTTATCTGGACTTTGTGAGTGGTGGAACAGAGACGTGCATTTGAGAAGTCAAGGCAGGAGTTGACAAAAGCATAGATGAGGGTTTTGATGACAATTGGTGTGAGGTAGTGAGAGAGGCAAGCATGTGGTGAAAGTAAAAGCTGTCTTGGTCAGGGACAGAATATGAGGTAGGAAGCCCATGCTTTGTGTTTGTTTAACATGAGTTACTGTTATTTAGTGTATCCAAAGTAACCCTTGAAATGCCAGCTTTTTTTAAACTTCTACCTACGTATTTGTCTTGCTTAATCTGGGTTTACTGCCTCATATATTCCTAATGATTGACTATAATGCCTTTGAAATTTATAACCAGATGCAAGTAAAGCTCATTTAACTTCAATAGATTGAATATTCTTTTTCATGCTGTTGAAATATAGAATTTTTGATAAACTGTTCTGAAGCAGTTTTAATTTGCAGCTGTTAGAGTATGTGTAACAATGTTGCATTTCTAGATGTATTCAGATTCGGTTCTTTGAAGAGATTATGTCTGATGTGCATCAATGAGACTTTAGTTTCCTACCTTCTGGAAGGGGAGTGGGTTCATCAAAGTGATATGACAGTACTTGTAGGGTTCAGAGATGATTTAGTAAGTACAGTTTGCTGTATTATTTGCAGATAAGTGACGAGTGTCTGATCTAATCCAGATGGAAATATATTAAGTTGTTGATGGATGTAATTTTTTTATGACTACCGAATGACAAACATTGAAAGCTAATGAGTTTGGAGTTTGGCAGATGGCTTTTGCTGTCAAGCATTGGTATTCTGTGGGTTGCTGTTGGAAGAAACAATTAGTCAGTCTGTCACCTCAAAGCTTTTGGAGAATGTTAAGATCTGACACACATCTGGCCTTTTCCACCAAATTTGTAAATAGCTTCCCTGCATCTTCATAGTTACTGATGAAAGTAGTTACTAGTTCATAGTTGATGAAAATTCAATTGCAATTGCATATTTTTGTTTAATGGGATGTTTATCAGTATCTCATTGTATATATTTTATTGTAGGTTTTTATA